TCTGGTTAGAGATAAGAGCTCAGTTTATCCTCCCCTCACCCAGGGCCATTAGAGGACCAGACAAGATGTGCCCGTTGTAGCCAGGCCCTTCACAGATCCATCTGGGAAGCTTCCCTCTTCATCTCAGACTTTCACAGTCACGCTGAGGCCCTTTCTCTGAAGCCTTGCTTTGGGGTCCCTGACCAAGGTAGGACACCTGGTGACCCAGTGCCACCAACTGGTCGAGCCTGGAATAAGCTGAGTTGCCATTCTTTGACTCATAGTCCCCTTGGGTTTTCAAGGCCAGCAATAGCCAGCTGAGTCTTTCTCATGCTTCATCACTCTGACCTTGACTCTTGTCTCCTTCTTTCATAGCTGACTCACAGTAGGTTTTCTTGGGCAGTAAATCACACTGGAGGAGAATGCCCATCTTTCTCTCACAGATCAGCTGGTGGATTTGAACTGCCTGCCTTTAGGTTGGCAGTGCAACTTCTTATCACTAAGCCACCAGAGCTCCCTCATTATTTTACTAACACCTGAAAAAGTCAAATAAGAGGTTCCAGGGATTAGGACACCGTCATTCTGGGGACTCGGCCTACCACATACACTATTACAGAACTTCAAGTACATAAGATAATGACAAGCTATTTTCTCAAATATTTCTATTAATTTACATTCACACCAGTAATTTCTGTTGCTCCACTTCTGTCCCAGTACTTTGAATTACTGGAGCATTAAAGTTTTGCCTCTTTCTGGATCTGTAAGAATCCCTGGTGATGTAGTGAGTTAAGTGCTGGGTGACTAACAGAAAAGTTCATCACTTGAATCCACCAGCTGCTCTGAGATGAGGCAGTCTTCCCCGCTGTTAGGACTTAAAGCCTGGAGACCCCATTGAGGGTCACCATGAGTTGGAAGTGACTAGACAGCAGAGGGTCTGGTTTTAGTTTTGCTCTGCTATTACACACTATCTGGCAGGAGATCAATTTCATATATTACTGGTCACCAACCAAGTTCTTCCACAAGCTAATCAATCAACTGGAACTAAGCCGCCATCATCCCCCGCCTAAGCTGCCATCGTTGCTGGTAGTAGGTGGGCTCGACCTACTAGACTCTCCATAGTCCACCAGCCTTCTGGCTGTCTAATGGATTCGATTCTGTTGGCACTAGATTCCCAAGTCCCACTCTGCTTCTTCCCTGGTGCCTTAATGAAACTTGATGATGAATGTGCTAGGACACAAGGCAGTGTGGTTTTGGTGTTGTTAGGTGGAATCTAGGCATGAATATAAAATAAAGAAGTGATATCCTGGATAAAAGAAGTCGCCAATTTCATACCAGTAAATAAACTGTGTCACTGGTCATAAACTTCAAGTTGGCTTACACTATTGAGAGTGCTAGGAGATTATGGAGCCAGGGCAGGATGGGTCTTTTAAAATGCAAACCTAAAGCTTCCCAATAGGCTCCAAGGTACAAAAAAAGCTTTAAGTGTCAAACAGCACAGAATGGATTTTCTTTAAAAGATATCTAAAAGCATGCTGCCATGAATGCTTCCACCACAGTAAATTCGACTGTGAAACACACTCCCTCACACTCGTGTCACTTATAAACTTTATGGCATTTACTACTGAATCTCACTTTTCAGGGAGAAGACAGAAACTTAGAGGGAGTATGGGATGCACCTCTCAAAAAAGTCCAATTTTACAAAATACAATTTCAGTTCTCCTTTGTGCACTGGAAATTTTCGGCATGGGCATAATGCCCAGTGTAACAACAAATAAAACAGATGTATTTTTCCATTCACATTGGTCAGGAAGTTTCATATTAAGCAATTCAATCATTGTATAAGAAGTGTTATCTATATGCTGAAATATCCTTATAGGTGGAAACTGAAAAATTGTCTGCCCGGAGGTTACATGCATGCCTGAAAACAAAAGTATCAGCAGAAATACCATCTAATACCAGAACTTCACATTAAGCAGCCCAAGAGAATGGGAGCAGAAATGTTGGCAAGAAGTCATCATCTAGATCTGTCAGACTCAGAAAGTTCAGATTTTCATTATTAGACCACAGATGCTAAGACTCTATTTCTGATGGCATCAGGAGGGTTAGAGTTGCCTCCGCCCAGGCACTAGGCCCCACGGGGCTCAGTTCCGTCTCTGCTGGAGGCCTCTCCCAGGGATGGCCAGGGCCTAAAAACAAGGTGGCAGTAAATGAGAATCAGGGATTGGTCTCTGCTGACTCCAGTTGGGAATTGGAGAGTCAAGGGGCAGAGTCAACCAATTTCTTCATCAGCTTCCTCCCTCCTCTGATTTCCATGCTTTCCCTCTAGTTTTCTAAGTGAAAGCAGTTTCACAGATTCTGGGTTAACCCTCTTTCTTTCTCTACAAGTGTTCCTGATACATCATCCTCTTCTGTCCATTGTTATCATGAAGCAGATTTCCAACTAGAGAACCGTATTTTTGAACTCTAGGTCGGTGCTGGGTCAGTCCGAGGTTCCTAACTTATCAACTTCAGCGTTCCTCAAACCGACATTTTCACTTCCCCTCTCAAGCCTCATTCTCTTCCTGGGCTCCTCAACAATGAAGACGGTGTTCACTTCTAAACATCCAAAGCAAGGCTTTCAACTAGTTAACTCCAGTTTGGCCCCTTTGAAGAACTTGCATTTCTACCCCAAATACACTGAATTAGACTCTTACCATACAGAGTCTTATTCACAGCGCTGCAGGTAATTCTTACAGATCATTGGAACAGTATGGATTCTGATTCAGCATCTCTCTAGGAGAGAAATACAAATTCCTAAGAGATGGATCAGAGATGAACTGGTCCAAATCTCTGATAGAAACATAAGCTTCTCGTCTTTTTTTTTTCCTTTTCATTTTTTAAAAATTATTATTCATTTTAATGAAAATTTAGAGACTTTGGATTTCCATTCATTCATTGTTGCACTTTTCTCCCTGTCCACCCCTCTCCTCCTGTTCATTCCTCAATTTGAAAAAGAAAAGAAAAATTATTTCATTGTTATACAATCCCTCCCTCCAAGTCCACTCCACTATGCAGCTTTCGTTCTGGACTCCTGTCATGACAATAATACCTCGTCATATATACCTTTTAAACAGTTCTCTCATCTGTTTCAGTACGGTAGACATAATTTATCCCATATTTCTCAGTCTATATCCAACCCCTAAGTCAGTGCCGCGTGCCTTCCACATGATCATCCTGGAAAGGGGCTCTGATCAAAGCACTTACTTGCTAACAAAACTGCCATGACTCCCATTGCTTATGGAATTAAGGCCAAACTCCCTGTCTTGGTATCAAGTCTGTCTAGGATCTCACACCAGCTAGCTTCACCGTCCTATCTCAATACTGATTCACAATCCTAATACTCCAACCAAATAGTAACTGCTTACAGTTCTTATTAGGTACCAGGTGCTATGCATTAGATCTCATAATCTCTAACACTGCAACGTACACATTACTAGAAGTCTCATTTTATCGGTGTGAAGAATAGGAAGAATAGAGAGGGTGAGTAATCCAAGGCTGTACTTGGCAGAGTGGCACTGGAACCCAGTGCTGTCTCTCACGGGCTTGGTCACATGCTCTGCTGTCTCAAAAGCTGAGGTCCTCCCTACACTCCAGGTAGGAGTCATCCTGAGATACTCACGTCTCTGGTCTCTTTCTACACTTCAGAGACCTACCTGAATGTAACCTTCACCTTCCTTACCTAGATAGCAGTAAGCTCGCCGCCTTAATTCTCACAACCTCTTTGTTGTACCTTGCCCACAGCCTTTCTATTTTGGTGACTCATACACACTCGTTGCTGACAGCTGCAACCAAATCATAACTGAACCTCGAGCAGGTTTTCAGAGACTGTAACTTGCTCAGAAGGAGATTGCCCATCTTTTCCCCACAAAATAGCTGGTGGATTTGAACCATGTGCCTTTGGGTTGGCAGATGGCAGGCTAGTTCCCACTAATCTCCCAGAGCTCCTTACATTGGTGATTCAGAGGCATCTTGTCTCTCCCATGGCTGGTTGCAAGTATACCCCAAGGTCAGGGGGTTGTCTTGCCCTTGGAATATCATGATCTAGAGGTTATGAGTCTCACTGGACAGTCAGTGAACGAGTCCTTCTATGTGGAAGTTTGGATGGCAAAGCTTGGAGCAGAGTACTGATGGAGTCTGAAAGCAGACCATTCCTATCTTTCACTTGTCTCTAAACAACTTGAAAAGTGCAAGAAAAAGGACTCATGTGTGGCATTCTCAATGTTCCATTTCAATGTAAACAGAAAATGATCCGTAACAGTGTTGACTCATCAGCGGTGGTAAAATGGAATATTTCAGTTAAGTGACAGAAAATAAATATCCATACCAAGTAAGTCTGCTGAAAGAACATGCCACACACATGCACACACTGAGAGAGAGAGAGAGCGCGAGCGCACATGTACAAGTGTGCGCGCACACGCAAAGGAGACAGAGACATATACACAGAGAATACGTGAGGGGTTGCTGGGCCATTTTGTCCCTTTTACATTGTCCCCCAGCCTTATATTTGCAAACCAGATCCCCCAATCAAGCTTCACCCTTGGCTCCCCTGTCAGAACTGGAAGGCAGTTATGCCGAGGGCAGAGCTGCCTGTACTGACATCTGTATCATCTTCCTTCCTTGCTGGCTGGGAGGCAGACCCCTGGCAGGTCAGGCCCCTACCAATGGACAGAAGGACCAAGAAATCTGGGCCCAGGAAGTGCCCATTTGCAGCAGCACACAACATCTGTGTGGGCCCTGGTCCCTCTGGATGTGATGCATGAATTTTCAGGGTCTTCTTCCCCCCACAACTGTGTGATTTATAGCTCACTAAGGGCTTCTTCCAGGACCCAGCAGCTGCTCCCAGTCCCACTTTCCCCCACAAATAGCAAAGAAGGCTTCCGAAAGAAACTCTCCCCTCTGGCCCACACAGGGAGCCTTTCCCTGTGCAGGAAGAAGGTCTCGCCCTCTTGTTACAACCCAGAGCCCAGAAAAGAGGCAGGTACCTTCTGGCCGTGGTTTTGGCTTTTCCAGCCCTCCGTCTTGCATGAGCTCAAAGGCGAAGGAGACATTCAAGACCTGCGAGGAGAAGAGAGACATACAGTGGAAAATCATCATCAGACCCCTGGGGTTCCCTGAGGCTGGGCCTCTGGGAAAAGAAGAAACACTGGAACCAGAGATGGCTGTACTCTGAGGGAGAAAGGTGACTACTGAAATGGTGAGTGTGAGCTTGTTGATCTCGGTCTGCTGTTGACTAAATGCTCCTGGAGAAGTATGACAGTTGTCCACTGCATTCCTGTGTCAACCGCCAGGACTTTACACTCAAGGCTGCCATTGTACATACTTGAAAGGCTCAGACTTCAGCCCTGAGTCAGCGGCAGACAGGGGTTTTGCTTCGGGCCAAGTAACCCTGGCCCAGAGTGCAGGCTGAGGCAGCCTATGAGAGGTCACCACAGCTTGGCTGGGCCTGGACCTCAGATCTGATGTGCCTCACAGCCACCTTCGCTGCCACTTCAAGATGAGGTGAGGCTGGGCTGTGGTGCTTGGGGGAGCATATGGGCCAAGGTGCAGGGGGCGGAAAAGTCTATCCCGGATGCTGTCTGGTATGGGGTAGCTCTTGCTCAGCCCAGCTGCTCATGGGAATGTACACCCACCTCCAGACTCTGAAGACCCTGGGCCAGGGTTAGGGTGGGGAAAGCACCACCTGGGTAGGTGCAGGGGATGTGGCCCAGGACCCCTGGCAGGCCCTCCCCTTACCTTCTGCTCAAAGCTGTCGGGGGTCAGGAAGAAGCTGTGCAGAGGCACAAAGTAGCCCTCGAGGAGTCCCATGAGCAGCACCAGGTACACACCGTCTGCAAACTGGAGGGAGAGCTGGGTGGAGGCACTGGGCTTCTAGCTTCCTAGCCCCACCAGCTCCCCCGGGAGCTCCCTACCCAGGCAGCTGATGGGGGGCTGGAAGCAGAGGCTCAAGGCAGGAGAGCTCACTGTGATCTGTTGCCCTAGGTCTGCCTGGCCTCAAACAGGAGCCACAGCTCTACTGTCATGGATCAAATTGAATCCCCCCAAAATACATAGAAAATGGGGTTGATATTAGTATAGGATCACTTCGTAGGACTGCCAGGAGGGTTGAACCAGTTAACATGGGAAAAGTACCTAGAAGACTGCTTGGCAGGCAGGACGCACTTAATAAATATTAACTACTGCTATTGTTATGTACCATGGACTGCCAAGAAAACAAACAGATTCATCCTGGAGAGGGTTAAACCAAGCTGCTCCTTGGAGGCAAGGATTCTGGGGCTTCGTTTGACATACGTTGGGCATGTTGCAAGGAGGGACAGGTCCTTGGAGAGGGACATCATGCTTGGGAGGGTGGAGGGACGGCGCAAGAGGGGAAGACCCTCTATGAGGTGGATTGATTCGGTGACTGGGGTAATTGGGATGGGGGTGTCAGAGACAGTGCGATTGGCACAGGATAGAGTAGGGTTTAGGGCTGTTGTACATAGGGTTGCTGTGAGTCGCAAACGACTCGACAGCACATAACAACAACAACAACTGTTATTGTTGCTGTTGTGTGCTGTTGAGTTTGAATCCACCTACAGCTGATGCTCCAGAAGGTTTTCAGAGCCTGTAGACCACATAGGAGGAGGATGCCCATCTTTCTCCCGCGGAGCAGCTGGTTGATTCAAACTGCCTGTCTTTGGATCGGCAACATAACTCCTGACCCATTAGGCCACCTGAGCTCTCTCTACTGTTTTTACTATCTGAGAAAAGAGCACTGAGGGCACAACTTACTGGCTCTTGCCAGCAAAGCAGAACTGTACCCTGAGGGCCAAGGCAAAGGCTTAGAGTCCAGCCCCTTCAATAAAACATAGAAGAGTCCAGACAGGTTAGGAACCTGGTCCAAAGTGCTAACAGAGACTGTAGCCTCCTGCTAAGTGCAGAAGACTGCAGGTTTTCCATTTAAGGGAAAGTGAAATTCGTGTGTGCTGGACAGTCAGGATGTATGCAGAGGCAGGGTACAGGGACCTAGGGGGTGAGTGAGATTAGAGGAAGCAGGCTCTCCAGGGTCAGAAGCAGATCCAGAACCCAGTCTGGGAGGCTGAGCAACTAAGTGCTATAGTATTCAAAAGGCCCAAATTATTGGAATCTTCTTAGAAAGCTTAAAACAACAAGATTGAATTGCACACGGGCCTGAGTCGGCTCAGATGCTCTTCCTGGCTGGTGGACCTGTGGTTCGGTCTTTGTCACTGACATAAGAGTTTGAAGATGGGCCTGCTCAAGAGATACTTGAAGCAGCTTCCTCCCTTCTGTCTATGCCTTTAAGGCCTAAACAAGACTCATCCCAGGCTGCCACAGGGTAGACAAGCCAGGGGCACCAGACCCTTGTTACTGCATCAAAATCAAAAGGTCCTTTTACTTAACCTGGCCTCATTTTTCTATATGTTTTAGCTCAGGGGAGAACTTTTGTTTAATGGTTACTCATAGCCAACAAATGGTACTAAGTCAGACTGCTTCCTCTTCCCCATCCCCAACTGCTAGTGCCAGCAATGTGGTGGCACCTGTAAACCTGCTGCCAATGAGTGAATCCTGACTCATGGTGGCCCCATGTATGTCAGAAGAGAACTGTCAGTCGTTGATTATTTGGAAACAGTTACCAAGCATTTCTTCTGAGGTTTCCCAGAACACCAAGCTTTTGGTTAGCTGCTAAGTGCATTAACCTTTTGCACCAGCCAGACTCTAACTTGGGGCTAGGTAGCACTCACAGTGACTCCCTCTGTCGTACTCCCTGCCCCATAAAACCCAAGGTGAAGGTTCCAAGGCCAACTAGAGGAAAGATCACTTCTCCCGAGCATTCCCTGCTCTCCAAAGAGAACATGGAGCTCATTCCAGGGCCCGCACAGACTGGGCTAGATCCTGACTGCAGATCCAGGAATCGTCTTCAGGAATAGCTGGAGTTGCCTAAGTGCTTAAAATAAAGTCACACTTAATAGAGAGTCGTCAAGAATGAAAGGATGTTGGGATATGTTGTTGTTGTTATGTGCCGTCGAGTCGCCTGCGACTCATAGCGACCCTATGTACAACAGCCCTAAACTCCGCTCTGTCCTGTGCCAATCGCACTGTCTCCGACACTCCCATCCTAATTACCCCAGTCACTGAATCAATCCACCTCATAGAAAGCCTTCCTCTCCTGTGCTGTCCCTCCACCCTCCCAAGCATGATGTCCCTCTCTAAGGACTGGTCTCTCCTCACTACATGTCCAAAGTAAGTTAGACGGAGCCTCAGAATCCTTGCCTCCAAGGAGCCACCCGGTTTAACCCTCTCCAGGACAAATCTATTTGTTTTTCTAGCAGTCCATGGTATTCTCAGTACTCTTCTCCAGCACCACAGCTCAAAGGCATCAGTTCTCCTTCTATCCTCTTTGGTCATTGTCCAACTCGCTGATGCATAACAGGTGATTGCGAAGACCATGGCCTGTATCAGACGCACCTTAGTCTCCAGAAAGACACCACTGCTCTTCAGCACTTTGGAGAGGTCCCTAACAGCAGACTTTCCCATGGCAATGCACCTTTTAATTTCCTGGCTGCTGGTGCCAAGACTGTTGACTATGGAGCCAAGCAAACTAAAGCTGTGAACAATCTCAATCTCTTCACCATCCATCCTGATGCTGCCAATTGGTCCAGTGGTGAGAATCTTTGTCTTCTTGACATTGAGCCTCAATCCATATTGTAGGCTGCAGTCCTTGACACTCTGCAGCAGGTGCTTCAGGTCCTCCTCAGTTTCAGCAAGCAGGGTTGTGTCATCCGCATAACGCAGATTGTTAATAAATCGTCCACCAATCCTGACCCCATAGGATAAATTAAATAATCTCTAGGTATCTCCTCAAAGGTTACTTACTAACTACAGAAAAGGACTTCACAGTTAGTTCCACCTTAACAAGCCCTCAAGCCCTCAAAGTTAATTTCATCAGCGATGGGACTGACAGACCAAACTGTCTCCTATGTGATACTCTGAGAGGATCAGAGCACAGACTTACATATTGAAGATGCAGAACTAGAATCTGATCAGAAGGGAAGAAACACAGGGACCTTCTAGAAATTAGTTTATTGTGGTCAGAGCACTTTGAAAATGACAAAGTGAAACTGCAAAGAAAGGCTAAAGAATTATTCTAACAATGAAAAAGAGACTTAAGCAGCATGACCACTCCCAGTAAGCAGTACTACCTAACTTGGGACAGACTGGAAAGCATTATGCTAAGTGAATTAACTCCATCCCATAAGGACAAATACTGTATAAGGCCATTAATTTAGGAATAGATAACTAGTAAAAAGTGTATGAGGATCTAAGGGGGGGGAGCAGCAGGCTGAGGATGGGCGGGGGAGCAGAGGGGTGAGGATGAGGGGGAGGAAATCATAGGAACACACAATTTAATGGGTGGAGGGAGGAATTGGCAAAGGAAATGGGAAAAAT